TACTTTTGTGTTTTACTCCATGCACTTCTTCCTTATCAAAATCTGCATGCGATACCAAATGAACACAGGAAGTAATGCAATAGGTTTAATGAAGTTATTCTTGATGCAACAGACTACATGCAATGGGAAGGGTCACCTCATTTTCAGTCTTCTGCCCAAACTGACACTGACTCGAGTGGCATCATGTGAAGATGCTATCAGAGTTCACTCTGAAGCCACTACAGAGACACCAAACACTACATGAACATAATGCTAAACACACTTATCTCAGCTGATACTCAGGTATGCTCTGGTGTTTACGGGGGATTGATTCTCAATAAAGATAAAAAGAGATATTCAGTGCTTCCAGTGGTACCTAGTGGCCCAGCATTTTACCAGCATTGAGACTTCTTGGCGTTGTCACTAAAGACATAAAATGGTATGCTGATCTCACCTCATTGTGGGGCAGCCCAGCGGCAGAGAAGATGGGGATCTTCTGTCCTCGAGCAATGCTATTCATGCCATCAATGGCTGAGATGCCAGTCTGGATCATCTCCTCAGGGTAGATACGGCACTGAGGGTTGATGGGCTGACCTGGAGACAGAAACACGTATTCAGCTGGACACAAACGAAGCAATAGCACACTTCACTGTTCATCATACAGGTCAGTCCCACAGACCTGACCAGACAAAACACGCAGCAGAAAAAACATAGTAAGAAAATGGTGATGAAAGTAAAAGGCTGTGCAACGGCTTAAATGGAAAGTGAGATTATTAATTTGATGTGAACAATCAGAAGCAATTATATTGTGTTATTGTGGAAGCTAACATACACTGTACATTCATGTGCTCCAATAAAACTCTGCTGAGCATAGTTTACATTCTAGTTACAGTGGCTACATACTGAGTCAATGAGAATATTTCCTATTACAGTTTCAACACGCTCTTCTGAGCTGCACCATTAAATAATAGTACAAGGACAACAGCTGCATTAGACAAATGACTGTTAGGAATTCTGCCAATTAAGCCGCTGCTTGCTTACTATATGATCAAAGGGTAACTGCACTTATAGGGCACTTTCCCAGTCCTACCACCTGCTTAAAGTCAAACACAGACGTCTTACACAGGTCAGTATCTGGCACAGAAAACATCTGACAGGCCTTTCAATTAGTGGATAACCTGGTCTACCGTCATGAGCAATGGGGGGTGCAGAGAATTAGTCACAACTCATTAGTGACTTTGAATGGGGTTATCCAAGGATGTGCACAGAGACCTGCTCAGGAACTCTCACTCATGTGGTTCACCGGCACTAATCTATCAATATTTCACAACAGCATGTCAAACTGTGTAGCTGCCACAGGATCAGAGCCACTGTGGCCCTGTAGTGTGACCACGAGCTGCAGCACGGCGCTAAGAGTGGTTAGGTGTTGACCGGGCTTAGGGTTAATCCTATCAAGCGCCTATGGATGCAGACTGATCACATGACATGCAAAGAGTGACCATCATATCCATCCAACCTATGGAAGACTGTTCCAGAAGAAAGGACTTAAATACTTCCTTTATAAAAGGACCCATGGCTGTGATTACTGCAGTAACATCTACTGTTTCTACCTTTTACAACAGCATTAATATTCAACGCACTGAGTGGATAAAGTATTGATGGTAAATGTAGGATTGTAGGACCCCAAACTTTGACTGGTTGGGTTTATTCTGGGAAAAAAAATCTATAGCATAGTGATATTTGGGAATACTGGCTCAACACACGGAGTATCGATATTTTATTACAAAAATTTAAAGACTCTGGGAATTTCATGAACACGATGGCTCATCTTATGCACCAACCTGACATAACGTTAGCCGAGCCAACTTTAAATGGCTCAGCCAAAACAGCCATGAAAACTGACACACAGGGGTGAGCTGAGAAGCTGATAAGACTGAAGCCCAGAGGAGACCGGCCCCAAACTTTGGAACAGTCTGCCTCCTCATATCAGGATCTCTCAACACTCGACATCCTTAAA